TTTAGCGATTCGATTCAAAATGGCCGACTGGCAGCCATCTTGTTTTTTGAAAATGTTTATTTTGGACATGCTTTGTCAGTTGTCATTCAAACTTGGTACATAGATTATACATGTTAGGATACATGTCCATGACAATTTATTTTGCAATTGGATCAAAGATGGTCGACTGGCAGGCATCTTGTTTTTGTTTTTTTATGCGGTATCTTGGACGTGCTCTGTCAGTTTTCATTCAAATTTGGCACATACATGTACTTTATACATGTTAGGATGCATGTCCATGACAATTTGTTTCAAAATCTGGTCAAGGATGGCCGATTGACAGCCATCTGACTTTTTGGCCTACTATATTTCCACAATTTATGTACCATTTTCATTCGTATTTGGCACATACATCATACATATCAGTGTGTTTCATAATCAGATCAAAGATGGCTGAATAACGGCTGTTTTTATTTTGGCCATATTACTATGACACGAAACACGTGTTTTGATGTAAATAAACAATCTGTTGTATACGCCACTTGGAACTCAAGTTTCAAGGACACGCTCGCGACAACCCCTCCGCTTTAATATGACGAACATAAGAGAACTTAACGGGGACTGTGTCATTTTCAATGACTTGTTTTAAAGAAGGTTTGTTTGAAATTTACTCTGGATTGAACCCCACGTTTAGCTAAACATGTTAACACCTAATATATATGTAGTGTGTTTTGATATTCTTGTAGATTATGCCCATGATGTTCTGACTACTTGAAACTTCTCACTTAAGCTCTCAGAAAATAAAACTGGCATGGAAGAACCAAATGAAGGCATGAACCTCAAAATTTAGATTCCTCTGTGAAAATGAAGCATAGAAAATACTGTAGACACAATTGTAGATACCCAATTGCCATAGTAAATTTATCCACATAAGTGAGTTTGAGACAAGTCTGCTAACTTGATTACAAAGAGTGCCTTCAGTCAATTTGCTTCTATGCAACAGTAGAAACCCAACTTGTGCAAAGTACCTTTTGCACATTGTGATTCCAGATAGACTGCGGCATCTATAGTAATTGTGTAAAGTCTTTTTAAGAAAATTGTTGCTGATTCAATTAGATGTGAAAGTGTATCAAGGGTAGAGTGCTATTGTAAAGTATTGTTTTAACAAATTGATGAATCTCCACTATCTGTTATGCTATATACTGTAAATGCAATGATTATTCACTGGCTTTTATTTTCGCTAATAAGTAAAATCAACTATTAAAATTAAATCTACCTGAACATGTAAAATAAAATAAAATAATCATAATTGTTTACTTGACAAATTCGTGAAATTAAACGTTAGTGAAACTATATGGTTTTTCAGTGGTCTTGATATTATATCATTCATTCACTAAATAAACAATATCCCTGATTCAGTGGTCAGAGTGTTGGCGTAGACTGGTGATGAGTAGAAAAATGTTACTACATGTATTTGTTTTTATTAAATGTTGAAAACCTACCATTGTATACTCAACAAATGGTAAATGTTCTAATGCTGATCTCTTGCGTACTTCTCACAATTAGTTAGTCAGATTTATGACTCAGATTTGATTAATATGTTTTGGTTAAACAACCTGATAAGGAGAGCTAATGGTATCACTGATTATGCTATTCCCCAGACATGTGTTGAAACTGTGGTTATTTTTGGTGTTATTGCCTTTTCTCCATTTATTGTGAACCTCTTTAACCCCATTGACCTTTACAAAATCAAAGGTTATAATTGTTTTGCTAGTCTGAAAATGTGAGGTGGTCTTAGCCTTTGCACCACAAGTTTCCTCTATTCCTCACAAATTCACAAAATAGTTCTGTTCATAGTCTGTTTTTTAGAATAGACAAATTGTTTTAGTACAAGTATGAACCAAACATTTACTCAAATTTTGTCTACATTAAAAGCTAGGGTTTATTTCCAGAAATATTGAACAATATAAGAAAAAAAATGCAGAAAATGTGCGTGAGACTGTCCGTTGGTGATTCTATATAAATTTTGCAGTTTTTTTCGTTTTCCAAATACACATTCTCGCAGTATATTTAATCAAAGATGCACATGTTAACTATTGAAAGTACATTGATTATTACTAATGGCTGGCAACAAATTGTTGGCATAGTTACAATTATATGAGATGAGCTGTTGCCATCCAAGACCAGAATGCTGTTTGAATGATGTATGGAATGGTGAATTGTTTTTCAATAATGTGGTTCTTTATTTGAATTAAGCTGTATTCTGTACAACTGCCAAGTGCATACAATTTATCATCTTGACTGCTATAAACATTTCATTCCATACCTTATCACACGAATTAAGAGCCATGATTTGATCTTATGATTAAAGCATGTGTACTATTTTTGCTTTCAAAGCTTGAACAAGCGGAAGAAGCCACTGAGAAAAGAAAACAATTGGAAATTGAGAAGGAGGAGACTGAAGAGTTGAGACAGAAATACAAGGTAACCATGGTTACAGTACTATCACACTACGCACAGCATACAGTTTTTAATTCAAACTACATGTATAAGTAACATGAGAGCTCAGTCTGATGTGTGGCTTGTTGGCTAGCTATCCACCCATAGTTAGGGAGATTGTGGATTTAACTCCTATGGTCGGCTACACATTTTGCCTTAGTGTATGTTTTCTGTCAACCAATTATAAAACACATTACATCATTAGACAAGACCAGAATATAAATTATAAAAATCCTGCTAAATTTAAAATAAACCTGTACCAGTGATGATGTAATAATGTGAAAAATCTTAAGATTTGGAGATGAATTAGAAACCAAATACATTAATCAATAAAACTTGACTGAAAATAGAACAAATTATGATGGTTCTGACTTGATAACATTTATAAGATAACACATTACATTTAAATCATCAATTGTTAGCCAGACAGACAGTAGTGATTCCATCATGGCCAATCATAGGCCTTCAGTAGACATTTATAAACGTATTTACGCCATTTTAACTACATCTCCAATTAAAGCACATTGCCATCTTCCTAACCTCCATTCAC